TGTTTGGGTTCGCATTCCCCGAGCGTGCCTGGAGCTGCCCCTGTGCAGGAATCCTGCAGCAGCTGGAATGCAGCAGCTGGAATGCAGCAGCTGCTGCCCCTGCCCTGGCACAGCTGGAATTGTCTTATGTTCCTAAAAGCTCTTTGTCAGTTTATATTCTTCATTATAAACCCAGCTAACTAAACATTGTGCTGACGAGCAATCAATTATTAGTTAACTACTAACTCTTCACTTCATCAAGGCCTACTCATTTATTTTAATTAACTCTAGTAAGGCTTATTTCTAACTAAAATCTTAACTCCTCCAAAATCTCTAAATTCCTTAAAATTTATGTTTCACTACCTTCACTTTTGAGTTTGGGAAAGGGGCAGGAAAAAAGAGGGGGAGGCTAAAAAATTCAATTTTCTGTTCGGTTTTCAAAGGAAATGAGTGCCTTTTGCCTAAAGAGCATCTAAATCCACCAAATTGAGCAGAGAAATTTCACACCACCTCAAGCAGAGCAAAGAGCAAAGCAAAAGCAGCTCTGGTTTGGGAAATCATCCCTGATGCACACACACAGAGTTTTTAAACTCATACAATTCATTATTTTAGCTTGGTATTCTGTTGTTTTCCCCCTTGCTGAATTAATCACTGGTGTTCTCAGTCTCTTACACAAGATTCACGTTATTTTTAGTTGTTTTAAAGCTACTTTTTGCTAATTTTAGCTATTTTTATCTATTTTTTTTTCCTAGGCTTTGAAATGATTTATTTTAATTCCATGCCATCTCAAAAAGCAGGTGCTGATTTGTCTGTAAGACCCATGGCTAGCGAGTCAGATATGCCAAATTTTTCTCTTATTTCTCTGTAAAATTTCATACAATTTCTCAGCGAAAGGAGCCACAAGCGGAATATGCTGACTGCAAATATTTGATGAGCCTATTTTCTCAAACTCTTATTTTTTTTCCCACATCAGCTTCGCTCTCCAGGTATTATTTAGAGCAGGTTTTGGCTCCGCTGGGGGAGATTTGTGTTTACATAACCCTCGCTTTACAATCGCGTAAAGAGAAGTTGTAAAAACGCTGCAATTGCTTTTTAAGACTTCTGGGGAAAGGTTGGGCAGCGACTTTTGGGACCAAGCCAAGGCACTGGGATGGCTTTGGCAGGAATTGCCCACGCTGAACTCTTGGAGGACTCAGCTTATCTCCAGCCCCACCCCAAAAAAGCCAAGCCCAGAACAACTCGCAGTTTGTGGGGTCATTGTCACCCCCAGAGCAACAACCACCATCAATTTGGGCTGTAAAAGTGGCACATTCTCTTTTTATTTTCCTTATTTCCCCCTTTCCTTATTTTTTTCCTTATTTTTACCTTATTTTTTCTTCCTAATTTAAACAGCCCTACTGTTTATTGCTCTTCTTGTTTCTCCTTTTTGGGGAATCACGACCATAATGGGGGCACACGACTTCTGGCACTTTGGGTTGGATTTCTGTGTTAAAAAAGCAAAAAAAACCAACCCTGAAAACTGGTTATTCTGAGGTAATCCTGAAAAGCCAGCTGAATCGCAATTTAAATTTAAACAAATGAGGATGGAGGCCAAAGAGAGCTCTGAATTTATCCAAATCCCGCGGACAACGCAGTGACTGAAGGTGGTTTATTTTCACTTAGGCTTTGTAGTTGTGTTTTTGCAACAGGAATGTTTCATAGACAGATAGATTAAAATATAAAAATAAAATGTCACCAGGAGGGATTGTCACCAGGAGGGATTGTCACTGGGAGGGAAATGTCACCAGGAGGGATTTTCACCATGAGGAATTGTCACCAGGAGGGATTGTCACCAGGAGGGAAATGCCACCAGGAGGGAAATGTCACCAGGAGGGAAATGACACCAGGAGGGATTGTCACCAGGAGGGAAATGTCACCGGGAGGGAAATGTCACCAGGAGGGATTGTCACCAGGAGGGAAATGACACCAGGAGGGATTGTCACCAGGAGGGATTGTCACCAGGAGGGAAATGTCACCGGGAGGGATTGTCACCAGGAGGGAAATGTCACCAGGAGGGATTGTCACCAGGAAGGAAATGTCACCGGGAGGGATTGTCACAGCGCTACACCTCAGCAAACAGCAGCTTGGCTCGGAGCTCCAAGCACCGCCGGGTTCTGCAGAAATTTATCAGCTTCCAACATCGCGGCAGGGGCTGAGTAACGATTCCAGAGAAGAGGAAAGGTCACATCACATCTCCTGGCACGCCCGGCGGGCACACCTGGGCCTTGGGAACCAGGGAACCCCTGGGAAGGAATGCTGACACCTGACTGTGCCAAGCACATTTCTCTCCCTCTCAGGATTTTTCATAGAGGTGCACAGAGAGAAATGAAAGAGAAAACAACTTATATTTCTGGTTTTTTTATGTAGAATGTGTTGAGAGAATTGTTTACCTCGAGTGAGTGCTTGATTAGATTTAGTGAAGATTGTTTGAGCTTAATAGCTAATTTAATCTGCTTGTGTCTAGACTCTCAAGAGAGGGTCACGAGTTGTGTTAGAGTCAGAAAAAGTAGTATATAATTTTAGTATCCTCCTTTTATATATCCTGCCTTCTGGAGTCAGGTATTGTAAATGCAGACGAACTCAATGGGAAGAAATGCTGATGTTTGACTCAATTCAGAAGCTGAATGATTTCTTTATTATCACTATACTATAATACATGAATATACTATTTAAAAGAGATACTAAAACTATAAACCTACTTTTTCTAACTCCCATATCTAACTCCCAACTGGTGCCCCTCTCTGAGCCCAGCCCCAGGTGGGTTGGATTGGCCACCAGGCTCAAACAATCCTCACCAGAATCCAACCAAGCATCACCCCAGGGAAACAATTCTCCACACACATTCCACATGGGAAAAAAAAGCAGCAGAAATAGAAATTTTCTCTTTCTTTCCTCTGTGCTCCTCTATGAAAAATCCTGAGAGAGAGAAGAGTGTGCCTCCACACCTGGGGCTGGAATCAGGGGGAATGGAAGCAGAAACTGGCCAGCCTGGAGCCCTGGCAGATGAATTTCTGCTCCCTACAATCTCTCCAGCAGGAGGCTTTTTCTTCGTTAAAATTAATCATTGAAATTATTTCATCACAGCCTCAGCAGATCTGCAAAAAACACCTTTTAGCCCTGCAGGGCCTCTAGGTAAGGAGCACAAAGAGCTGCTGAAGGGAGTTAAAAGTGGAGTTTTAAGCAGGCTGTGCTTCACGGACTCTAAAATGCTTCAAGTCTCAGGGTTTGTGAGGGTGAAAATATTTTTGGCCTCGGCGTAGAGCTTTGAAGGCAGGTTGGTGTGTGTTCCTCTGCCTCTAGCACCCAATTAGCTCCAAATGCCTTTCCAGAAATAATTGTGGAGGATTCAAAAACTGGTTACTCATCAGCAGCAAAGGGACCTAGGGGCTTTCATTTCAAACAAAGCCAAGCTGAATATTTCAAATCTGCCAAATAGAATATTTCAAATCTGCCACTAGGTTTTTGTTTTTTGGTGGTTGTTTTTTTTTTGGGTTTCTTTGTTGTTGGTTTTTTTTTGTTGTTTGTTTGTTTGGCCTGAGCTGGGTGTTTATTCTGGATTCTGAATGTTCTGTGGGGATTTCTGCCTCTCACCCCACACACCTCTCAGCGCCTGCGTTGGGAGATCTCGTTCTGCTCGGAAAAAACAAGACTTCTGTAAACTTCTGGGGCTGCTGCTGCTGGCTAGAGATAACAAGCAGAGATAATGAAGAGCTGGGACCTACCCAGACAGGATTCTCATGGGTGTAGCAGCTCCTCGGAGCAAGAACTGAGCAGAGCAGCGCCTGGGGCCCTCCTGATGCCAACTGGGGAATATTTTCTTGGGGTTTTATGCCTGGCAAGTGATGTTTTATCCACTAAAACTTTGCTGCTAAGCCAAGTGAGCCCCCAAGCTGGGCCACTCGAGGTGGATATAAATTGTGGGGATGCCTGGAGTGACAACCCACTTGTTGTCAAGGAAGGAAAATTCCAAAGAAGGAATTTTTATGGCACATCCTGCAGCTCCCAGGAGGTGAAATGGATGTTTGTCCTCAGGAGAAGTGAAATTTTGGGGTGAATATCGATGAAATGAGCAGGATGAGGCTCCACAATGCCGTGAGAGCTCTGCTGTCCTTTTCCTTGCCCTCCTTTTCCCTTCCTGACACACTCAGGTTGCAGCTCGTGGTTCTCCCTTCTCCAAATTTACCCCACAGCTGCAGGAACACGCCTGGCTTTGAGACAGAGTGAAAATTTAACAGGGAAATGGGAAATGTCAATATTTCCTCCTGAATGGCAGCTGTTGATCCACACTCTCCAAATGTTCTCCAGAGGGTTGTGGATTATTTTCTTCAATTTCCCACCCCTCTCCCCCTCCCTTCTAGCTCTTTTCTTGGCTCCTCACCCTAAAAGATTGGATTTGTTTTGTTTGGTTTTTTTTTTTTTGTTTGTTTGTCTAATTCCTTTGTTTGAGGGAATTAGTTTTTTTTTTTTTTTTTAATATAGCTTATTTTCTCTGCCTGCCTGTGGTTTACTTACAATCATGGCATTGTTCTCTGCCTGACATTATCTGTTTTAGTGGGCAGCAGTCCCCATGCTCCTCAGCTGAGGATTTTGGGCTCTGCGAGGTGCAAAAATTTCTCTGAGCAAAATCCAGCAGCCTTGGGGAAGAGTCTTTGGTGCAGTAATTGTGTTTGTGCAGCAAATCAGAGTTTCAAGGACACTTTTTGGAGGCTGAAAACCAAACAGGGGTTGGGTTTCTGCTGCGGGTGAGGCACCAGGGCTGGGAAACAGCTCCAGACCCTTCTGCCAGGAATTTGAGTCCTGGAGTTCCCTTTGGAATTAGTGGTGGGAGAAGGGGATGCTGGAGGATTTCTGCCAGCCTAAAAACCAAAACAACAAAACCTTCCCACATGTCTCAGCTTCTAAACTCTGCTTAGTTTGCCTTTGCCATGATGTCCCTTCTATGGTGAGCTCAGTATGAACAGAAAAGTACAGAAAAACCCAAGTTACTGCATAAAATAAATGTATTTATTGGCAGGAAGGAGCAGTGAAACAATGTAAAGCGATTAACAATGCAATTAATGGATAACTGTGGTAGAATATACTGTAGAAGCAAGTTCATCTCTGAGTATATTGAATAAATGATATCTGTAGGAATAGTTTAATACTCCTGTCCTTTCCAACCTGAATGGTTCTCATGACTAAAATATTAATGGTGGATTATTAAATCAGAGTTGTCTATGCTTTTTTTAAGAAAACCTGTGAGAAAATTCAGGTTTTTTTCCCTGCAGATATTTCTGGCTGTGGGATTTCTGGGTCAGTTTATAGTGAAAATAAGGAGCTGGATCTGACCCTTCAATCCCACAAATGGAAGCTGAGCTAACCCAGAAGTTTTTCCTTAATTGCCTTCAAATGAATAAAAAGTTCTGTGAGAGCAGATGTGAGTTAAAATGCAAACAGAAAAGAGGATGGGCAGTGATGGGGGACAGAGAGAAATATTCAAAGAGGAAAAATATCCACAAAACCTGGGAAAAAAAGGGAAAAAAGAAAAGACCAAAGATTATTAAAACATGAGGGAAAGCTTTGGAAGGAGGCGGATGAGTTATACAACTCATCATGAGAATAACATATAAGATATATACATTTTTAATGAAATACTGAAAGATTATGAATAATTATGTCTCTCTCAGACTAGAGAAAATACAAAGGAGAACTCTTTAGCTGTTCAGGGCATCAGAATCATAGGATATGACCTAAATCCCATTGGAATTCACTTCAACACTGCCACTTCTCCAAGTGAATTCACCTTGTGCAATGTAGCTCTTGGAGCTTAACACTTAAGGAAACCCCATAACAAAAAAATACCCTTTTTTTTTTTTTTTTTTTTTTTTTTTTTGTACAAGAAACAAATGCAAAGGGTTCATTAAAAACATTCCCCAAAGATGCTGAGTACTTAACACTGGATCCTGCAGTGGTTTCACGTGGAAATCTCCCATTTTCCTCTACAGGAGACACGTGAGGAGCTGCTGGATCAGTTTTGGGTTTTGGGTTTAGCTTCTGTAAAAGTAGAATTGCTCCCTATGTAGCAAACAGGGAAGTTTCATAGAAACCAGCAAACTCGCAACCAGAAGTTCAAATGAAATGGGAGTAAGTCCGGGAAGAAATAATTAAAAATAAAAAATGATCTAGTTTGTAGCAATTCTGCTGAATAACTTGATTTTCTGGCAGTACAGGATCATTTCAGCTCCTTGTTGTGCTCCCAGCCTGGTGTAAAAAATGATCCTTCAAAAGCTGTTGCTACAGATTTCAGTTTTATAAAGGTAAAACCCTCTGTTAGATCTGTTAGAAAGGAGCTGATTTGAAACACTTTGTCCCAGACTTCACCTACAATCCACTATGGGTGCAAAATTCTGATTGCATCAATAAAAAGCTTGAGTTCTGTTGAAAAAACATGCTCAGCACGATGTTTTATTTTGGAAGGACGTCACCATGAGACTGCCTTAAAGTATGACCACTGCAGCCTTGGCCAAATACTGCAGAAAATATAAAATATTTTTAATATTTAGGCTCTGAATTCCCAGAGCTCATGTTTAAAATTACTGAGATTTTCAGTCTATATATTGAATTTGGAGTGTAGAGACTAATTTTAGACTGAAACCCTCAATATGTAGCCCTGGATGGTGAAAATCTTTTTCTTGGGCTAAACACCTGCATGAAAAATCATCAGAGCTTCAGAGTGACCTCAGACCTGAGCAGAGAAGCACAAATTTGGGAGAAAATGAAGATCTGATTCTTCCTGGAGCACCTAACACTGAATTTCTGGTGCTGAGGATTTCCCTCATTTATCTTTTTGCTCTTTCATTCTGGGTCTGGGTGAGATCTTTGCAGCAGTCAGTTCAAGATAGAATAGAATAGAATATATTCTGTATTTTGGTGCCTCTCCTGCAGCAGGTGGCCCATCCGATGCAGGTGATGGGAGCTCTCAGCATTTCCCTGGGAGGAAACAAAGCAGCAAATCTCAGCTCAATCCCAGGCTGGGTGTTCCTGAGAAATGAGGGATTTATTCCCTCATTTTCTGGCTGGCTTTGGGTGAGGAAGGAGGTTTGCAAGGAAAAATGAGTAAACCCAAAGGCTGGGATGAGGTGCTGAGCACCTTTTGCATCAGCTCCACGCTGCAGAGGTTTGAGCTGGATGCTTTTTGGGGTTTTTTTCTCCCCCCACCCCAAACGATTCTGTGGGATGAGGGAGTGGATTGAGCCACTCCATCCCAGTTTATGAGTCACACAAACTCCCCAACTAGCTGGACTCAAATTCCTGCCACAAAATACCTCTGAGAAGGACATCCAGGAGCTCTGGGGATGACACGGAGCAAAGTTCAGGCAGGATATCTGCAGCTGGGGGAGCGGGGATTCCTCTGGGAGCATCCAGCAGGCTGCAGCTCTGTACAGGTGAAGAGACAAGAACAGTCCATTTCCAGTTGAACTGGACTAATTTTTTTTTTTTTTTTTTTCCTCTGCTGGGTTTAGGGAGAACCTCAGTGACTTGAAATGGGGCCTAAAGTCTGTATTTCTGACTGAAATCTTGTAATATTATTATATTTATTGCACGTACTCTGGTGGGAACTCTTATCTGACAGAGGCAAAAAAGATCCTCGAAAAGACAAAAGAGCTGTACCTCTTTTTTTGTTGTTGTTTTTAAGCACTGAATATTTGCTTAATCCTGGAAAATAATCTTGGCATTAGACATAGCCTGTGTAAAGCAGCCATAGTTACCTCCCGAGGAACATCCTGTGCCTGGGGTTTATGAGTCTGAAGCAAACACATGAGCTCTGTGTTCTCCTCGAGTTTTAGGCAGGGGGTGGAGGTTTGCCACGAATTCAGAACCTGTGGATGACAGCAAATCCTGGGGTTGCACAAGGGTAGGAACACCTAAGCCAGGGCAGAGCTCTGCTGGGGCTGTGCTCACCTGCAGCTGAGGCTTTGCTCCCATCTGCAGCAGGCAGAGAATTCCCTCCAGGATTTGGGCTCTCCGCAGCCTCAGGAACCTCCCGGTGTCCCTGGCAGTGCTCTGGGATTCTGCCACCAGCACGGTGTGGGCAAGAGCAGCACAGTGCAGGGGTGTCAAACCTGCGGGGAACACCCGTGGGGAAGTCAAAGCCTGACCTGGTTTGCCTGGAGCAAATCTGTATTTAGAGATTTGGGATCTAAACCCAAATCAGCTCAGCTGTCCCTCCTACCGCAGTGGTCAGGCAGATCCACTTCCACACACACCCCCTTGTTCTTGCAGCTTTTCAGGACCTGAAATGAAGAACATCCAGGTGATTCCTGACCTTTGGCAGTGCCAAAAATACCCTTTCCTCCCCCAAACCCTGCTGTAACCGCATCAGAGCAGAGCTAGCTGGAAAACCCTGAATTATTTCAAACACCAGGATGTGCATCAGTTGCTTTTGCTCCACTTTGGCCCAACAAAACCACCCAATTTACCTCCAGAACTCTCAGGTATCCGTTCTCTGCACACAGGTGGAGGGGAGTTTTCCCAGAGCTGTCCTGCTCATTGACGTTGGCTCCCAGGGAGATCAGGTCACTCACCATCAGGTGTTGGTTCTTTTCTGCAGCAAGATGTAAAGCAGTCTGAGAAGGGAAGAAGGGCACAAAGTTGCAGTGAGAGGCAAAAATAGTTTAAAACAACAACATCTTTTAGATACTGAAGTGGAAAATTGGGATTTGGGGGCTCTGTCCCCTCTTTTGCTCCATCATTCCCTCCCGATTCCCATTTTCCCTTCTTCTCCAGACAGCAGAAGGATTCTTGGTGCTTGGCTGGGTATGAAAGAGGATTGCATATGATAAAAAGTGACTTTTTTTTCCTTGGCAAATCAGCCTCCTACCCTTTTCTCTGCATCCTTCTCGTCGATCTTGTTGAGGGATGCAAATCTCTGGGCCAGGGCAAAAGTCAGAGCCCTCCTTCCCTGGGCAACAGCCTTGTGCAGCAGCCTGGAAGAGAACTCGGTTGGGAACAATCAGAAGGGAAAGGAGGGCTTGAAACACCCCAAAGAAAGGGTTAAAACACCCCAAAGGAACAGGGAGAGTGTATTGTGACAGAAAAAATCGAGGACCTGTTGCCATTTTCATCAGGAGCCAGCAGTTTTTCCTCTGGGATGTTCCTCAGGAAATTTTCCTCCCTGCGCAGCTGGAACTGGAAGAAGGAGAGGGCAGAGAGGTCCTGCCTGGTGACGGAATTTGGGGTCAGCCTCAAATGTCCCTCCACATCTGGAGAGCCCCTGGGAGCTTCCAGCAACTTCTCTGCCAGGCTGGGGAGTGCAGGCGTGTCCTGGGATGGAGAATTCCTTGAGAAACCTTCCTGGGGTGGAGAATTCCTCGAGAAACCTTCCCTGGATGGAGAGTTCCTCAGGAAACATCCCTGGGGTGGAGAATTCCTTGAGAAACCTTTCTGGGATGGAAAATTCCTCAAGAAATGTTCGTGGGATTGAGAGTTTCTTGGGAAACATTCCTGGGATGGAGAGTTTCTTGAGAAACCTTCCTGGGATGGAGAATTCCTTAAGAAACATTCCTGGGATGGAGAATTCCTTGAGAAACCTTCCTGGGATGGAGAATTCCTTAAGAAACATTCCTGGGATGGAGAATTCTTTAAGAAACCTTCCTGGGATGGAGAGTTCCTCAGGAGACCTTCCTGGGATGGTGAATTCCTCGAGAAACATTTGTGGGATTGAGAATTCCTCGAGAAACCTTCTTGGGATGGAGAGTTCCTTAGGAGACCTTCCTCAGACTGAGAGTTCCTCAGGAAACATCCCTGGGGTGCAGAATTCCTTGAGAAACCTTCCTGGGATGGAGAATTCCTCGAGAAACCTTCCTGGGATGCAGAGTTCCTCGAGAAACCTTCCTGGGAGCTCGGGAGAGCATCCTGCACCCAGCAGCTGCTCCCTTTCTGGCCCCTCCTGGAGAACGTTCCGGGCCAGCCGGACCTTTGGGTGCTTCCCTGCTGCCCAGGGAAGGAGGGCTCTGCCTGTCCCCGCAGGACTGGGTGCAAATCCCTCCCGCAGGATTTGGGGTGCAGCTCTGCTGGGCCCTGCAGGCCCCCAGCTGCCTCCTCGCTTTCCCACCGGCAGCTTTGCAGCTCCGTGGAGAATCCCTGCCAAAACCCGTCTGGCACGGGATGCCGAGGCTCCTCCCTGAGCTGGCTCTCCTTCAGATCCTCCTGCAGCACCTCCACCAGGATGTCGAGGTCCTCCAAGCCTTTGGGGGTTTGCCCAGTGCTCTGCTTGCTCTGAAACAGCAGCAGGAAGAAAGGGGAGGGAAGCAGACATGAAGTGTCCTGTTCTGCCTGGGTGATAGAACAGGAATTCTGCCCCAGGAGCCTGGCACAGCGGGGTTCAAGGTGTTCTGCATACCTGTCTAAGCTGTTTCTCTGTATAAGGGTGAGATCTCCTCTTCTCTGCTGGAAAAAGAGAGAGGAAAGTGTTCAGAGCTGAGGGAGAGGCACAGAGCAGAGGTTCCCATCAGTCCTGCCCCAGATTGTGGGAATCCAGAGCTTCCCTCTGGCTGCCCTGGGACCCTGGCAGGGGTCAGGAACCCCCCTGGACAGAGCCCCCAGAGACACTGGCTGTGATCTCTGCCCATGGAAAAGAGTTTTCAATCTTACAGGATGAATTACAAGCTCTGAGTGTTTGATATGAGTAATAATTAAGTGTGGCATGGCTGCAAAAGTAAAATTTTGGGATTCTAGATTAGGGGTTCAGAGGGGACAAGATGGAGGAAATTGGGTGTGCCTTGTCCTTTTTCTCCTTCTTCACACCCTCCATGTTTCACTGTGGTGTTGGCATTTTTCTGTTGGTTCAGGCTGGGGACACACTGTCCAACGTAGGTGACAGATATTGGCACGTTATTGTAAATCCAGCACAGGTAGTTTGTGGTATTTAATGTTTGTACCATCCCACTGAGGGCAGAGCCCCACACGCTGCCCTGCAGGACAGAGCTGCGGCAGGGCAGCAGAACATGTTAGAGATAAACAGAATAAACAACCTTGAAACAGCACAGACCAATTATGGCTTCTGCTTTGGCAGTGGGGCTGACAGACAGAGACTTTCTACAATCTCAAAATCATCAATAGCTCAGATTCCGACAGCAGATAAGATAAGATAAGCCAGGCAGGGGGTGAGGCACAGCTGGCCGCCCTCCTGGAGTGGAAGGGACCCAGCAGGGACCCCTGGCACAGGGCAGGAGAGCTCTGCCTCTTTGGGTACCTCACAGCGATGATCCCACTAGAAAAGGAGGCTCTGTTACCAAGTGAGGCGGTTCCAAACCTGTTTTTCCTGAGGATCCTTTGGCTACCATCTTCACTGATGAGGCTTCCTGAGGAGACAAAACCACCCAGCTTCAATGAGAGATGCTTACACGGATGGGAAGAGGAAACAGTGGCAAATATTGTAAAGTGAGCAGCGTGAAACTGCCTCCTGTGCTATGGGTTTGGCTCAGCAGGGGCTGCAGGTGGAAAGATTTCCCTGAGTGGGTAATTCATGGCAGCTTTATAAAGATCTTTACAGCAGCCTGGGAGTTTATCAGCTCCTTGGGCTGTTTTTGCAGGTTCTGGAGCAATATTTTTACTGTTTTTTGGGCCATTTTTGCCTTGATTGAATGATGTACAGCATCCATGGGTTCCTGCTGTCACTGCCTCGGAATTGTCCCTAGCCCAGCCCTCATTCTGTTTGTAATTTGGTTTATTCTCCACTTTTAAAAGCATTGATTTGGTGGCTGGACCCCTCCAGAACACAGTGGGGTGTGGCTGTGTGCCCCAGGATGCTGCAACCCTGGCAGGAACCTTCCCAAAACAATCTCCTAATTTCTGCATTGTGATCAACTTCATTCATGCATGAGAAATTTTTGTGTATAATTTAAAAAAATTGCAGGAAATACCTAGATAGGTGGCTTGTTTGTTATTTACTGTGTTACATAATTGCTGAAAAGTGAAGTTTGATTTTATTCTTGCACTGGAAGTCATTATTCTGAATGGAACGTGGTACTTTAGGGAAGAGGCCAGTTCTGTGCTTGGTTTTTCCCTGTGTGAGGTTATCAATATTTTAAATGTGGGACAGGAATTTATCTCTTTCTCCCCAAGAGAATTCATAAATCATGCCATGCTTCCTGTCAGCCTGATTTGATACCAGCCAGGGATTTCTCACCTTGCCAGGAGTCGGGTCCAAGCCTTTGGAAAGTCGGATTTTCCTCAGCAATTCCCGCACTGGCATCTTCACTCTCACACCCATGTAGCGCTTCTGAGGGGGATCAGAGCTAAGTTCAGAGTCTGGAAAAGTCACAACACGATGCTGAAAGTACCACAATTGTCTGAGCTGCTGGACAAGGGTGGGAGGATGAGGCCAGCCTGGGGAACGGGCTCCGATTCCCATGTTCATCATCACTTGTGGGAAATTCCCACGTCTCCCTGCATGTTCCTTGGCTCTGCTCAATAATTCCTTTAATGAATTCCTCCTCAGTTTTCCTGCGTGCCACAGAGCGTGGATTTGCTTTTTTGGGGAATGTGTCAGCAGTGTTTAGATCTCTGCCCTCTTACACTCTGATTTGCCTGTGTTGTGGTCAATCTGCCTTTGCAGTTTCCCGTCCTGTGGTTTGTTAAATTGTTATCAGTGCAGCAACAAGGCACAGAATTTGTTCAAAATTAAGATAGGGATGCTCTGTCCAGTGGCTTTGCCCCGTGACTCTCGGTGTGTTTGGAGGTTTTTGTGTGCTTCAAAGCAAAACAATGATTTTCTGCGCTGAAATGGAACAGTTATTTGAGAATATACCTCGCTGTCCAAACAGGCTCTCTCTTTGTCAAAACAAGCTGCTCTGGGATTGTTTGTGTTAGGTCTCCTTGCATCTAGTGCCTGCATCCCCAAACTTGAAAGACTTGCCCAGATTAGGAGCTTAAATCCATTGGCTTTTGAAATACCTTTTATGTAACTCTGGCATTCACATCCCTGCCTTGTGTGTCCCCCTGCTCGGAATAACCTTTATCTAAAATACATTCAGAAACAGATATTGACGTGAAAAAAATATGGATTTAATGCATCAGATCAGGATTTTCCCAATAAAATACACCACAGAGAACGCCACAGCTCCAAGGGAAGCAGAGCAGGGAGAAGCTTTCTGTTCCCACTGCAGATTGTGGAATAAAAACAAGCACAACTCAGGATTAAACAACACAACAGCCTGAAATGAAAAAGGTGCATTGGGCCAGCAGCTCCTGGTGCTGTTAATAAAACATGAAGTGCCTGAACCAATATTCCTGATCAATATTCGTGACCAAAACCTGCGTGTGGGATCTGTGGAGGGGAAGCAGGGGAGCTCAGCAGATGGGAAAGGTGCAGCTCCTGGGATGCCTGAGAGGAGCAGTCCTGGCAGGGGAACCAGCCCCACAAGATGTGGTTTCTTGTTGCGTGATTTTGTTTTCCCTTCCCTGCTCCAGGCAACGAGAGCTGACACCCCTCCAGCAGGAGGGAGGCGAATCCCCAGCAGCAAATGGTGCCTTTGGAATGGAGATGGGGCTGTTGTTTTGTGCTGAGATTTCTGGCACTTCTCAGTGTTTCACCCATCACTGAATAATCAAAACACGGAGAGCTCGAAAAGCAGAGTTTGTTTCTCAGATTGTTCCAGAAATGATTCCTTTTTTCATTAATTGCTGTTTTGACAATGAATTATTTACTGTTTGAAGAGTATTTTAAAGGTTTCTTTGACAATTTTTATAACTAGCCAGGAAGATGGCTAGCATGTTGTTATCTGGGAAGAGTTTCCAGTGAGAGATCAGATATATCCTAGGAACTGAAAGACTCTGCAAAGGCAATGATTCACCAAACACACTTTGCTGTGACTTTGAAATGTTAATAACACAGAAGGTCACATCTATTACCTTGCTGTTAGCTCAGAACCAAACTTGCAATTCAGAATGCAAATGAGCAGCAAAGCGCTGGAGATGGGCAGAAATGATGGAAAATTTGGCATCCTTAGGAAACCAGGGCAATTTCTGACTTCAGTGAAAGAACACAGCAAAATCCAGCCAAGCCTGAGTAGGGGAATGTGCAGAAATGGGGGAAAATTTGGCATCCTTTGGAAATCAGGGCAATTTCTGACCTCAGCAGCAGAACACAGCAAAACCCAGCCAAGCCTGAGTATGAAAATGGGCAGAAATGATGGAAAATTGGGCATCCTTAGGACACCAGGGCAATTCCTGACCTCAGCAGCAGAACACAGCAGAATCCAGCCAAACCTGAGTAGGGCAATGCCCTGAACACCTCTGGGATTGCTGAGCTTGGTTGGTGCTGCTCAGAGCCCCAGGTCACTGCGCTCCATCAGCTGCTGCCAGAAGCACAGAGCAGGAAATGGGAATAAAGATTTTTCTCTTACCAGCAGGAGCAGGCATCCCTGGAGGGTTGCATGGAGGAGGAGGGTGGTAGATCCTGGGACTCGCCACGTTCAGCTCAGTTAATCCAGAGTCTGGCAGGGATGGGCTCTGCTGGAAGCAGCTCTTGGGGCTGGCAGTTTCTCCAGGCAGAGGAGATCCCTGGCCTGGGCTGTAGCCACAGATTTCACTTTCACTCACGTTTTGGTTGACAAGCAGCTCAGGACTCATGCAGACTGCTTGCAACATCTCCACTGTGTGTGTGCAGAAAAAGATGAAAGAGATGAGGGGAGGGAAAAAAAAAACCCTGTTCAGTTGTGTTAAAAAAAAAAAAAATTAAAAATCAATCCAGTATCACATGGAGACCATGGCAATGTAATTAATCCTCCAATGTAATTAGCTGAGTCCAGCTTCCCTCTTGTCTTTGGAGCAGCAAGTTCCAGCAGGGGAGGAATAAAACCAGCCTTGGAATCCCAGCAGGCACTGGAAGCAGCTTTTGAGAGTTTCTTGGCTGCAGTTCTGCTTGCTCTTTATACTCAGATATGGTTTGGAGGATGGCAGCCTGGGAAGGCTCCACCCTCTTTCCTTACAACCCTGAGCTGCTGATGAGGAAATGAGTTTTCCCAAGAAAAAGCTTAACTTCAAGTTGAAAAAAAAAAAAAAAAAAAAAACCCAAACAACTTTTTTCTCCTGCTGTGTGAAACAGAAAAAAAAAAAAATCTGTTTTACTGGGAAGGGAAAAGCAACCTCTCACTAAGGGTTGTGCAAGTGAGTAAAGTAGTAGGAGATCCTTAGTTAAATGTGTTGGGAATTCTCAGAGTGCTTTTCATCTGGAATAGGGTGAGTTTTGTTCTCTCTAGCTGGTGCAGTGCTGGGTTTTGGATGCAGCAGGAGAATGCTTTTGGTACCAAACTGATGCTGCAGCCCTTGCTGGGTTGTGCTTCCCTCAAACCAAGGAATTTTCCCAGGCAGGAGGTGCAGAAGAAGCTGTGAGGGAGCACGGCCAGGACAGCTGGCCATGGCCAAAGGGATGTCCCATCCTGTAGGAAGTCGTGCCAGCATTTACACTGGGGGATTGAGGCAGCAGGTTCAGGGCAGCAGCTGGTGGGAGAATTTGTGTTTATTGTTTTAATTGGGGTTTAATTATCTCTCTCCCCCCCCCCCCTCATTTCACTGCATTATTTCATTTATTCTTATCTCACCCATGATTTTGTATCTGCTCACAGCTCTCTCCCCCTCCTACCAGGGAGAGGGGTGAGCTGGTGGCACAGGGGTATTTGGTGCCACAGGGGTTAAGCCATGACAGATGGGGACACTTCTTACAGGAAATCTATTTCCTTGTCACCAGATCTCAGTATCAGATCCAAACTCCATTCCCATGTCCCTGGGAGATGTATTTCACCTTGTGGGCTGTGCCATTTCAACTGAACAAGCAGATATTTCTCTGAAGTACCTAGATTGAAAAAAGGATTACGATGTTATCAGCTGCATCTTCTTCCCTGCCTGTGCCCTGGAAAGCATTCCAGATTTCATCCCAGACAATATCACCTTTGCCATCAGCCTGGGCAGAGAGCAGCCAGACTTTCTGGGGCAGATTTACATGAGCAGCATGATATTTGTGTTATAATTTAAATGGGGCAGCGACTCCTCTCCCTCCCCAATCCCTTCTCCTGCTTGCTCTGCACTGGGAGCAGCAAGCACAGGCTCAGGGATGTCGAAAGGATTATCCAGGTATTGATCAAAGGAGATTTGATGCTTGTAAAGCAATCTTACAGGATGAATTACCAGCTCTGAGTGTTTGATATAAGTAATAATTAAGTGTGGCACGGGTGCAAAAGTAAAATTTTAGGATTCTAGATTAGGGGTCCAAAGGGGACAAGATGGAGGAAATTGGGTGTGCCTTGTCCTTTTTCTCCTTCTTCATGCCCTCCATGTTTCACTGTGGTGTTGGCATTTTTCTGTTGGTTCAGGCTGGGGACACACTGTCCAACGTAGGTGACAGATATTGGCACGTTATTGTAAATCCAGCACAGGTAGTTTGTGGTATTTAATGTTTGTACCATCCCACTGAGGGCAGAGCCCCACACGCTGCCCTGCAGGACAGAGCTGCGGCAGGGCAGCAGAACATGTTAGAGATAAACAGAATAAACAACCTTGAAACAGCACAGACCAATTATGGCTTCTGCTTTGGCAGCGGGGCTGACAGAGACTTTTACAATCTCAGAATCATCAATACCTCAGATTCCAACAAGGATCCAGCCCCTCAGTGCCATGGATCCCTGTGTTATCCTCTAAATATCCCCTGCAAGTCTCTAGGATGAGGCACCAGCTCGGGAACTCCTCCAGCTCGCAGAGGTGGGAGAATTTGGCCTCCTGCAAACAGGAAATTACTGCAGTGACTCACTGCATTTATTGGCCAGTAAATCACATCAGAGATTCCTCCTCTTTCTATTCTCCTCCACACTCCAGCCCTTGTGTTGGGTAGTTTTATCTTCTTGTTTATAACTTGTGATTGCACTCACATTGAATCAAGAATTGGCCCGGGTTTGGTACAGGTATTGACCTACATTGGTGAGGAATTGGCCTTTCGGTGGCACAGAAAGGACCAAAATGCAATTTTCAGCCATGAGAAAAGACGTGGATTTTCAAATCTAGCAACAAAACCCCTTGGAATGTGGACACTACAAGGTCTCCAAGGCTTTGTGTTTGTTGAACTGGGAATTTTGTGGTTCTGCTTCCAACCTCAACAGGCACCTGACATTTTAAAAGAATCCTTTGTTGCTTTAATTTCAAACAGCTCTCATGAGTCCTGTTCTGCAAACAGGCACTGCTGGCTATGAGCTGTCCACCTCCAGCCCCATCCCTGCCTGTTCAACTGCAATTTTCAATTTGGACCCTCTAATAATGCTGCATCGAGTCCTTTTATCCACAGAGGCAGGGCAGGTTCCAGCTTGCACAGCGAGCAGAGGGAGATCCCAAAAATGACTTTCTAGGATTTGTGGATGCTGCTTCAGTCAGTGCCTCCTGATATTTTGTTTGTCATCTCATCAGGTGACACCTCCTTGTGTCAGCGTTCAGGAACACACATAATCACAGGATATGATTATCTGCAGATGCTTTTATTGAGAGCTCTGGGAATCAGGGGTACAGACCCAAATCTGACTCCAACACGGCTTTTGAGCTGCACGTATTTTATATTCTATCGTTATATAACTTACAGATTAATTATTAAACTTATATTGTTCTATTGTATACATTGACATGAGTTTCTCGTGATCTTTCTTAGGCCCCTGACCACAGTTTCTCATGATTATTCTTATGATTAAACAGTAATTATATTTAATTACTAAACAATCATTACATCTAACAATTTATCATGTACTAGCTACACAGGTGCAGTTCTAGCAAGGTACAAGGCCTTCATGTACCCAGGGTATTTATTTTTCCAGGGCCTACTAAGCTTAATTTTCCTTTTAACCCTAAATCCCCATGATTTTAAAACCCTTTTACTATCCCTTGGGCAGCTCCTTCCAGTACCTGGCCACCCTTTCCATGGGAAAATTCCTGCTGGTGTCCAGCCTGACCCTCCCCTGCTGTAATTTGGGGCTGCTCCTGTCCCTGGGATGAGATCCTAAATTCCCTCTCCTGTCAGGAGCTGTGCAGAGCCACAAGGTCCCTCCTGCACCTCCTTTTCTCCTTTTCCGAGCCCTTTTCCAGCTCCTCAGGAGTTCTCCAGCCCCTCCACCCCAAAGGTGACGCTGGCAATGGCACTGTCCCCTCCTGGGTGATCTCCATTGTTTCATTTCCAGGAATTACCTGTCCCTGACTCATCCCTCCTGGTGCTCCATGGTTACCTCCAAATGTTTTCCTTGCATCCACGGCTCCCTGGCCGTGGCAGGGGTGGCATGTTCAGACTGTTTTACCTCCCTGAAATGTTGCACCCTGAGGAAATTCCTCTTGTGTGGGGCTGCTGGGATGGCTCTGTCCCCCTCAGAGGGGAATCAAAACATTTTCCAGAGTTTTCACCCCTTCAGACCAGGATAAACAAAGCTCTTCTCCCCTGGGCCATCATTTCCTAATTTTTATGCAGTGGTCAGATGCAGTTAATTGTTGATGACTTCTCAGTTGTGTGGTCTTGAATTGCAGGCGGTTAAAGGTGAAGAAATTATTTTAATCTTCCCGTTTTTGATGCCTTGAGGCATCTGGGGATGGGATTTGGTTTGCTCTTGGTGCAGCCATGAGAATTACCAGTCTCCTCTGGGAATGATGCAGCTGTGGGCTGCATTTTTGGTGGATTTCTGGAAAGATGAGGAAGGAAAGGAGCCCTGAGCTGCTGTAGGAGGCGTTTGCTGGTGTTCCACATGGAAATTATGCTGTTCCACCTAAACTGCCCCGTGTGAGCCGTTCTGTGCAGCAACAGTGACCTCCCCTGGGCAGGAGGAGCTGCCTGTGCTGGGGCTCCTGTTCCATGGCCCGACAGATCCAGAATGGGATTGTCACCCCGTCCCAAATGGGACTGGTCATCCCATCCTGAATGGGATTGGTCACCCCCTCCTAAATGGAATTATCACCTCATCCCAAATGGGATTGGTCACCAAATCCCGAATGGGATTGGTCACCAAATCCCAAATGGGATTGGTCACCAAATCCCAAATGGAGTTGATTACCCAATCCCAAATGGAATTGGTCACCCCATCCTAAATGGAATTTGTCACCCAATCCTAAATGGAATTATCACCCAATCCTAAATGGAATTTGTCACCCAATCCTAAATGGAATTATCACCCAATCTCAAATGGAAATGGTCACCCAATCCCAAATGGAATTATGACGCAGTCCCAAATGGAATTGATCATCCAATCCCAAATGGAGTTTGTCACCCATTCCCAATTGGAAGTGATTACCCAATCCTAAATGGAATTATCGCCCAATCCTAAATGGAATTGGTCACCAAGTCCCAAATGGAATTGATCACCCCACCCCAAATGGAATTATCACCCAATCCTAAATGAAATTAGCACCCAATCCTAGATGAAATTATCACCTCATCCCAAATGGAATTGGTCACGAAATCCCAAAGGTGATGCAGCACTTCCCTGCTTTCCAAATAACTCAGGATCAAACTTTTTATTCATCACTTATCTGACAGAGATTTTCACCAGTCTATGCTGCGCAAATATCCAGATAAAAGTTTAAATTTGGAGGCCAAATAAGCATGGAAAGACAAAAGGGATAAATCTTATTGTTATTGTAGCATTTTGATAGCTCTTCCTTTGGGTGCTCCTCATTTAATCCATCTTTCACTTAGAAAGTTTTTTATTCAGGCAACAAAAAAAATCTCAGATGTTTCCATTATTTTGTGGTTGGTTTTTTTTTCTCTTTCTCTTTCTGATTTCTTTGCCAAAGCAAACTTTGAGGAATCATCTGCTGTGGTTTCAAAGGCAGCCTGTGGTGCTTCCTCAGCTGATCAGTGCTGGGTTCTTAGGAGAGCACCTAAAATGTGAGATGGAGAGGAAATTCAG